AATTATTACTTTGAATAGGTAAAAAAGTAGTTTTATTTTTTCCAGAAAAACTATGCAACACCAATTTTCAAGTGATATTACAAGTGATATAATTTACAAGTGAGACTCTACTGGAATGTCCACGAACTCCAATGAGAGCTTTTAAACTACCTCCAACAGATGAATCTTAAATCACTGTGTGTCCAAGATACATATATGTCCTAAGTACAAAATCTTTTCCTAATCAAAACGTGGACACTACTACTTTTTCTTCTTGTTTCGCATACATTTTAAATAATTTAATTTACTCTCTTTTATTTCTGTTCAATGTGTCACACTGATATTGTCAACTTCACTCGCGTCCTCTGCTACGTGTACTTGACCTACTCTCATGCCGAACAGTTATCGATTTCATCTCTGCGATAATGGGAAGTCATCTACAACAGACGCAATCCACTCCTCGCCAGAGCATTCACCGAACCACTCATCCCTCATCCCCCCTCGCGGTCGTCAATGCGACCAGCGCCCGAACGACCTAACTATAAGTACCGCCCCCGACCGTTACGAGTCCCTGTTCCATCAGCGCGCGGGATCTGAGGCAGATTCATCTCTTTCCTACGTCATCAGTTACGGCATATTCGAACTAAACTCCCCACTTTTTCGTTAGGGATCAACTACGTGGAATTAGTGATATAGAAATTGAAGATATTTAGAAGATTATTTACTTACTAATGGCCTACTGAAGCAAATAAACTGCTGAACACAGTCTCGAGAAATTGCTTTCCAAAACGTAGCACGCACACAGCCAAAGAACAACAAATACTATTCTCTTGTAAAAACTGCAACAAATTAAATATTTTAACAAACGTCAAATATCTTCGCAAGGACTGTAATAACATAATATAGTTAATTCACAGTAAAATATTTCTTTTTATAAAAATATATCGAAAGATGTTATTGTTCCATAACACAACTCGTGAAAAGCAAAGATTTAATGGCAATCATGTTCATTGGAGCCTGGCTGATGCATGATTTCTGCTGACATAAGAATTAACGGGTCGAGTGTGAGTATTAGGGAGAATAGCAGGCAGATGATAATTAGAATTGACTAAATAGCACAATCAAATATTTGCATTTTCAGTCAAAATCGAAACTGTATTTTATTTTTGATTTTTCTCGTGTTTGCGGGCATTTAACAAAATCAAATATATCTCTTACATGGACTGTGGTTGCGTAATTTTCTTTCAATTCCTGCACGTATTGTAATCTATTAATATAGATTAATTAACTTTGGTGAAGGAATTTCGTACTTATATAAAATTAATAAATAAGGTTAGTGCCGTTGTTGCTCGTCTTGCCTCAACAAACGGCACGTAATTAATCACAAAAATATGGAATATAGAAATGTAGTAATTGGTACATTTTACTTCGTAGTAAATGAAAATTAAAGGGGCGAACTACATTACAGTATGCTACACCACTTAATTTACTGTATGCAACGTAAAATAATGTCTAAATTTGTTGTAATCTCTCCCTCATTCTCGAAGCAAACTTCACCACACACAAAACTTCACACGCCATGTAAGTGGCGAATTAGGTCGGTTTTCTGCCGTAATTCGCGCGTTGCCATGAACTTATTTCTCTCAGAGTTGGTAATTAAATTCAAATACACAACATTCAATCAATCAGAAGCTATTAAAAAGTTCTAATACATTGTTAAACAACATTAATTTTTTCCGAAACAGCAATCCTGATTTTAAGATTAATTTGCTTATCGCATCACCTGCTACAACATGATATAAGCGCGTAGAAAGCGCTGAAGTACGCAACAGTAGTGGAATACACCAAACAAGAGTACCATTCATTGATTTGTGAAAATGAAACAAAACTCAAAGAATTTCATCGGAAAATGACACCGAAAAGAAACAGAATTAGTGTGATGCAAATATTTTACTACAACATTAAGACAAGAGGACTACGAAATTTGAATACTCATATTTCAGTGTCAGACGCCCTTCAGGCAGGTAAGGACAGAAAGATAAGGGCAAGCATACGGGGTCTGTGCTGAAATACATTTTCCCCCTGGAAGCATTCAAGCACCTCCAAAGCTCTGCAAAACTTGCATTGCACGACAGGAAGTGTTCGTATAAAACTGTTTTTATAGGTTGTTCAATAAGGTTTGGGATAACAATTTAGATTTTAATTTATCTGGTCCTTGAAGTTTCAAGAGTAGATTGGTGAACTTTTACAACAAATACATTATAGTGACACATAACGTAGCAATACAATACATTTCTGATTAAATTTTCCACTCTCAGTGTTTGAAACAATAAATTTTCGGCTTCGTTCTCGGATATGATATATGTTATAGTTTTGTAAACCATATTTCTTGTGAATTTCATGGGGCAACAGAATATTTTTCTTGGTATACATATACATTTAAGAAATACTATTTAAAATTCATTTTCATTTCATGAAACGTGGAGGATCAATTCACTAAAACCACTCGTACAATAGAGTATTTGCCTAACATTATTTCGCATGTTAATAATGGTACGTTCTTCACAATCATGGACATACTATAATTATAATTTGAGAAGGAACATGTGAAGGTGATTTTTATTTTTCAGACTATATCCACGTAAGGTTTCGTGAAGAAAATTGGGGCGATTTCACTAATGTGATGTGTTTATAAAATTAAGGGGAATTACCCTATCTGATATTTCATTTCCAGAACGTTTTTTTCTTAGTAACCATTATTTCACTGTGTTTCATCTTCTCTCGGTCTTCTGCGTTTTCATCCCCATCCATCACGTCACGCAAAATATTAATCGATATCGTCAATCTTCCATCTTCCTGTCGAACATTACAGTCATCGGATAAAACGAACGATCAGTTATATTTCCGTTTTGGTCCTCTATGTCATAACCCAATTTTCGAGCTGCCAAACTCCACCGCCCCTCGCATTCAATTCGCGCACCGTCCGAGTTGCGTCGGCGACTCTTCGTTCTGCTCATTTGCTGGCACCGCTCGCCCAATCATCCGTTTATTAAATTAGTCTTGCGCGTCGCTTCCCAGTTGCTCTTCGGCGCTTCGCTTGATTCGCAGCTAAGCGCAAACACATGTCGATAGCTCCAGAGTCGGATTCAAGGGGGTAGATTGTGTTACTTTGTAGTCGATAACCAACTCTGCCCTCGCCTCTCTCTCTTTCTCCCTTCGAGGGCCACTTTTCATTTGCTGCAAGCTACTTAGGCTCGGCTTTCAGAGTCGTGGCGAAGTCTGCGACGGAAAGGCGATTACGCAGGCAGGTTTACAGCCGTCGCTGCCGCTTTTGATTAGCGATCCCGCGCTGCTTGCCCTTTTCAGAAACTTCTCAATTTTTGAAGTCGTTAAACGGACGGTTTTAGTTGGTTGAAATTTGGCAGCGAGCTTCTGCATTCTGTGAGAGGAGTGAAATAAGAGACAAGAAAGGGATTCGGTTTCCATGTAGGGCGTTTGAAGTGGTGGTGTAACTAGCTTCATTAAAAAGTAAGTCTTGCAAATACACTACTCAAATAATTTTTAATTAATGTCAATATTTACGTAATATTAAACGTGACCCCAAGTTGTAGTGCAGTTTTAGTCTCTATTTCAAAGACACAAACGCGCACTACTTGAACACATTTGCATACATTACACTAAAGGCATTCTACTTTCATGGTATACACAGTTTTAGTACACGTTTAACAGCAATGGTGAACAGAGAAAGATGCAAAATGCATTTCCTTTGTCCAAACGGAAAAAAGGTCTTATTGATATGATGATATGTCTTATGATAATATGTTTAAGTAAATTTTGGTGGTGATTTTGAGAGAAGGTGGATTTGGGGTAATTTGGGGAGGTTTTGGTACGGTAAGGGGTGGGGTATGAGCAGGTTAGGGATAGAGTATGTATCTCTTACCCTACTTTCATTTATATTACTGTATGTTATTTGTGCAGACTTTCTGGTATTTGTCCAGCAGACTTTCCGGACTGGTAATTGAGAACAATAGCAGATCGTGGTTGCATTCAGATTTTACCTACTCTCTAGAGGAGACTGGCGAAAATTTCAAAATTTATCTCACAATTCTCCACAACTTCACAAAGATAAATAGAATGAAATTGTTATATATTGTTGTTGTACATATAACAAACTCTCCATATCAATGAGTGTACTTTTTGGAAATGTAATTAAAGTCAAGAAAGTAGCTAAGAAGATTTTAATGAAGCTAATCATGAAACCGAAGACATCTTTGGTACGTAGCACTCAAAACGTTTTAACTATGGCGTAAAACAGTATTAAATATTGCATGCAAAATGTTATAGCTTTCGGTGGGGGGCATTAATAGGTTGGGGGAGGACAAGGAGACGGGGTAAGGGTATGAGAGGAGGAGGGTAAGAGGGCGGGGAAAGGGGTAGGAGAGGAGGAGGGTAAAGTGACAGGATAAGGGGTAGGACAGGGCGGGAGTAAGAAGGCATCGTAAGTGATTGGAGAGGTGAGTGTAAGATGGCGCAGTAAGTGTTAGGTAGGGAGATATCTACACTGGATAAATTATAGGTTGGAGAGGTAAGGAGGTGAGGTAAGTGTTAGGATAGAGGGATGATATGGAGGAGTAAGGGGTAGGAGAGGAGGAGAGTAAGAGGGCTGGGTAATGGTAGGAGAGGGGGTAGGAGGACGGTGTAAGGAACAAGTAAGGACGAAGTGGGTCAGAGGGCGTGTAAGGGGGATGGTACGAGGGTAAGAGAGCGGGGTAAGGGGTAAGGCAGGGCAGAACAGAGGGAGAGCAAGATGGTAGGTTAGGAGAATGGTTCCGGGAGGAAAGGAAAAAAGAGTTCAGGCGGCTTCCTGAAAAGAGTAGATGTGGTTAGGATAAACACTGAGAAGACAGTCACTGTGTCAGGCGGAGGGTGATTGGGGGTAAGGGTGGGTCGGTAAGCTAGCGGTCCAGGCGATCGGAGGGACGGTGTGCGGGCGCTCGGCGGGCGCTTTGCGCCGTGCTCACCGGTGGTGGCGAGGAAGTCGCGGTTGAGGTGGTCCCAGGAGATCCAGTCGCTGACGATGAGCGTGACGACGACGGACGTGGCGACGACGGAGCCCACCCAGAAGATGAGGATGCGCGGCACGTTGGAGCGCCGCCACAGCTGGCGGAAGCGCGGCGCCCAGTGCGGGTACAGGTTGTCTTGCAGCATCATGTCCGTCACCATCAGCGCCGTGATGAGGTCGCCCAGCCACGTGCCGCACGCCGCCGCCTTCATCACGCTGCAACCGAACGCGCTTCATCAGGGCGAAGAAGCAAGAGGTAAAGGGCGGGCGGACACAATTTCTTCAAAACGTACGAATCATTGATGACGAATGATTGAATGACGTACGAATGATTGAATGTTGTCTGCCATGCGAGACCATGAGGTCTCGTAGGGACATTCAACTTTTTTAGCATGAGTCCATATGATTAACACTTTGTCTGCCATGCGAGACCAAAAGATCTCGTAGAGACATTCAACTTTTTTTAGCATGAGTCCATATGAGCTCGTAGAACAATTTACATTTTTTAGAACGAGACCATATAGTCTCATGCGTTGACTTGTCTCTTGAATTACTTGTCTGCGTGAATTACCGTTGGCATGGATGTGTAGTACGTGAAAAACCTGTACAGTACTGAGGCATAGAACCCCTTATCTCGTGACCAAGAGGCAGGGTCACCGCTGCTTGGACAAGGCTCGTAACGGGCTGTTGAGCCAAGAACAGGTCAGTTTATTAGCAAACCTGGCTGCGAGAGAACGTCGAAGTTCCATGAAGTGATTTTATAAGGCGGCGATTTCAAATTGTTTTAGAGGTATGCTAACCGATGAAATACGAAATTTTCATTTACGGTTGTTAAAGTTCTAATAATAAAAAAAAAACTATGAATCAGTCACTCCGTACCTAAACAAAGATCAAGGAAAACACACTTGCTATGATTCGCAGATACTATTTCCCCATTAGCAAGACACTTAGTGGAGTTTAGGTAAATTTAATTGTTTTTAGGATATTCCCATGCTGCATTGCAGTTTAGTGTAAAGAAAATGTAAAAAAAAAATTAAGTGACACTACGGCCACAGGCTAAGCGAGATAAAATTTGTTTTTACTAGGACTATTCGAATTAAAATGAACTGAATTCAAACGGAGTAATAACTGTGTAAATAATGTGTATGACACATGTAAGAATAAGGAATTAAATTAAAAACGCACGCCTAAAATGTTCTTGAGATCGAAGCGTCAATGTCAAAAATCGACTTTATTTGAATGGTCAGCTTATTACTACGGTGACAAATCTTTGAAGAATAATTGAAATTATCTTAATAAAAAAGCAAAATTAGGAAGTACAAAATAGTCTTATAAAGCTGGGCTGTAGTAAATTCAATTGTTTATTATAAAATTTGTATAACTTAAGATCTAAAATACTTCTCCGGTAGAACGCTCACAAAACAAATGCATGACCAAGAGCATGTCCTTGCATAACGAAGATGGATGATTCTAAGAAACAATAGCCATCTCCAATATTCAATAATTATAATAATAATAATAATATTAATAATAATAATATTAATAATAATAATAATATTAATAATAATAATTTGATTAATATATCATTGCTAACTAATAGCAGAACTTCCAAATTAAGATGTTCACATCAAATTACAATAGATGCGATCTGTATACATTGTGCAAAGGAAAGTACAAATCATTGTACATACATGGATTTGCCTATAAGAGAAATTAGTTAAGGAAAAGATAGACAAATCATGAACAAGTTAACAAACGTGTATCTTCTCGTCAGTCTGATGATTTTCTTTTTTATTGAATCCCGCTGGAAAAATAAACACACTGATGAACATAATTCGTTGTGTAAAATAATTTTGCATTGATTGATTGCTTTGATTTGAACAAGTGTCAAAAATGAATCATCAGCTGGTTCTCTTCACCTTGCCTTACTTTCCTTTCTGAAGGAAAATTAAGTTCCTAGAAAGAAAACTCCGATTTCAACAATAATACCAGCTGTAATAAGAACAGAAGAACAAGCATGAATATAGTTCAAGGGAAGTGGCTATTCGAGATATTTATGGTTCAAAGAAATTGTAATAATTACATTTAATACACTAGAATAATGCAGGATTATGAAAGCATCGAAATTATCTAAATTATTAGCAGAATCATGGTGAAAAGTTTTTCTTTGTGCAGATGAAATAAGTCTACGTTCCTGTCAAAAGATATATAAAAAATAAATTTATGTCCTTTATCATCGTCGTCATTTGGTAGGAAAGTTGATTGTAACGTAACTATTATGAACCATACACTTAAAGTAATTTAATGATGACAAAATCAAATTACTTAAGTGTGTTTCCAGCAGACACAATGCGCTTAACTTTCCGGACTAAAGGGAAGCGGGGAGCAATTTGAAGATAAATACATCAAATATTGCCGAACAGAAGCAAGAGGCACTAGAGTATTTTGAACACATAATTTCATTTTTTTAGATATTACTTTCATATTTTTACACGTTAGTTTGTGCAATAGAACAGAGATCTTTAACATGTTTCTTTAGATGTAACTCTGGTTAGAAATGAATCCAGTGGTTTTCTGAAGTTTCCTATGTTTTCAAAGCATTGAATTGCTTGTCATGTAGGTATCAAGCAGCCTGTGTTAACATTGATTTTGAAGAAGAAAAACCGCTTTTCCCACATCTATCAATCTTTGAAGTAAACATTATCAAGTAGCAGTCAAGTTGCATAATTATTTGGAGCGTAAAAAGGACAGTTGAAAAATGCCTGAAGAACCCTTAATTCATGTTTAAAACTTTAGAAACAAATCCAGAGATGATAGCAAAGGTGTTTACAAGCAAAAATAAACCCTCCAAGTTTGGATGAATTTACTTCTTAAAAAACTTGAAAAGGCACTACCTGAAATCATTCTAATTAAGCTTATCTTTGATCTATATCTGTTTAGCAACAAGATAAACAGATTTTTATGAGAGCAGATATGGATAACACGATTTCTTATCGTGGATGTAAAACAACACTCTCCCCTTAGTACATCCAAAATGCCTGTTATTTCTTGTAAATTTACCCAAACACGAAAATGTGAAGAATAAAATGAGACCAGCTTATCCCTGAGAGAACTTTCCAACAAGTATATAAGTTTAATTTCACATAAAATTTGAGATTCTGTTTACAATCTATCCGTGGAGAGCACCAAACCTATACGAGAGGACCTGAAAAGACCTCATTTAGGAGATTAAAATGTGGACCAAATAGTTCACAATTATTGGCATTAAAATCTACCTTTTTAAGACATTGGCATAAGGTTTGGTATATATTATCACTGTGTCCAGAAAGAAGGTCAGGGCTTGTGGATTACATTTCGTCCTCTATTACTTAGACTCTTTTTTAAATCTTTAGTATTTATAAAATGAAAGCGAAGTCCTTGAAAGTAATTGTATTTTGACACATCGCTTAGTAAGAGTCAGAAGATGGGAGTGCGAAAAAGGATAAATACTAAGGAAATAATATTATGCTAGTTTCATATTCTCATTCTCATTCACATTAACATATTGATGCTAAGAAACTTTAGATCATAAGAAGTTTTTTTGCGTATAGTTCACATAGATATAGAGTTGGTTAAAAATCAACATTTGATTGTGAATTATTCGTTATTTTCTTGTTTTCCTAGACAATTAATAATAATTTGTTTGCCACTTAGCGTTTTCGTGAAAGTTGATTGATTGATTGATGTTTCCGGGCATTTCAACTGTTAAAGTCATTAGCCCCGTTAGTGTAGTGAATGTTTTATCGCGGGAGGTGGCGGTTTTTCTTCCCCGCTAGGTAGTGAAATCCAGTTCCGACTTGCACTCTAGCATGTGGGTGATTTCGCCCTTCAGGGATCTCACTATTCCGGAGAGGTTTTCTGAAACATCTCTCCTCAGATCAGTGAAACACTCATTTGCTTCGCCAAGCGTTAAGCTGCCCACATGTGTGGTAGTGTAGTACATGTAAATGAAAGTGTGTGTGCAAAGGAGTAATTAGGACGAAGAAGGGTCGATAGGGCGAGGAAGAAAAGATCGCGGGGATAGCAACTTGGCTGTCCGTGTGGTGCCGCGTCCTAGGCACAGGTGACAATTTATCGGCCGCTATTCTGCCTTTCTCTGGGCAAAATGCCTCCTTCCTCAGAGAGAAATACCTCAGGCCGAGGAGGGTCGCAGAATGGCGGCCGAAACGTTGGCACTAGGACGCGGCGTAACCCAGACAACCAAGTTGCTTCTGACTGCGGTGACGGTAGCCTACGCTGTCAAGATCGCGTGCGGCCCGTTTCTGAAGGTGCTGATCCGGCATTCAACTAGGATAATCCTCCTTCAGACAATAACTGAATTCAACCTAACCATTTAATTGTGTTGAAAATCCACCAGCGACAGGACCCGAACCCTCGGACCTCCCGGCTAGAGACGCTTCAGAGATGGCGGCAATTCTGGCTCTGATCTAAACTCGGTTAGTGTGAAATTCGATTGTCATTTACATTTTATTTAAATTTCTTCTATGCTCCATTTGATTATTCTTGAAAAATAGATACTAATATGAAGACATTTCAGCTTTTTAACAGTTATTTGTTCAGAAATATAACATTTATTACATTAAGAATTGAAACCTTGTACCTGGCGTTCGTCACTCCCATTTGACTGTTTATCTGCAGCTGGCAGTTTTCATACCACAGCATCAGGAGTAGGTTGTACGCATGAGAGAAGACATACAGAGAGACGATCACCGTCAGGAACATTGTCATCCAGGAACCCTGAAACATTTCAGAGCAAAGTGTTAATTCGTAGATAAAACAATTCTGACAGTCATAGTTCTGACTATAAGAATTCGATTGATTATACAAATTTTTCATGAAACACTTAGTTAATCAAAAGTTGAGAATAATTAATAGTTTTCAAGAGAACTTTTCTTTTTCATTTCCCAGGTTCTGAATTCCAGATTTTCATTGTTTCATCAACTGACCATCTAAACTGAAACAAGTACTCACAGTATATGTCTCCAAGCATTAATAGGCATGGTTTTTGATAGTGAATAGAAGTAATGAGGTAAATACATTTCGTAGGGAAAGTAATATTTAGATAAATGGACAAGGGGTTGATTTTACAGCGTATCTGATATTTTTTATATTAATCGACTTTAAGAAATAAGAATAGAATTAAGAATTTTCAACATTGCGAATCGTACAAAAAATGTTTTAAGTGTAAGAACAATTTTTGCAGCTTTTCACTATTTAAAGTTTTATCTTATATATTCAAATATCTAAAACATCTAGTATATTCTTTAGTACTTACTGAACTATAGACACAATGCATAAACACATCACACGCGCGCACAAACATACGTGCAACACATACGCGCGAACGCACGCAGCGGGCACACACCCTCACAAACTTACGCGAATACGTACATATAAATATAATCACACATCCACACGAACGCACCCATCAACACCGATGCGTATACGTACACCCAACGCACACAGTCGCACGAACATACATACTTCCAAGCACGCACGCAGCACGCACATACTTGCACGACCATACACCCAACGCATATGCAGAATCATACACACACACACACACACCCACACACACATACAAGCACACTTCCACGCGTACTCAGACAAGCACACACACCATTACTTCTGCACATACTACTAGATGTTATAATTTCTACCGCGCGTTCGCCGTAAAATATGCATGACCTCTCGACAAGTGAAGCGTGCAGCTCCGCTAGCAATGCAGCCGGGGAGGGGGCGGTTGCTAATTTACATTCCTGATCAACAGCGGAGAACGCCCAGCGAATTACGACAATCCATTATTTCTGTCGGGCGGGGCTGTATTTTTTGGCGGCGGTGCGAGGAGAGATTGTGTTCGTTCCGTTTATTTGCTCCGGGCGCACGCGAGCGCTCCGGGAGACGTGTTTACAGGTCACGTGGGCGCGCAGCGACACCCAGCCAATCAAAATAAGTGCGCAGGAACAACTATGAAAATGATTTCTTAAAAATGGACAGATTTTAAATAGCAGTGGAATATTCGATGGGAATGGGAGTCCGGTGTCTTCAGGATTTGTAATCGGCCATATGCAGTGTCATTCACTTCTACTAAGCTACTACTGCTAGTAATAATAATGAATGTATAAAAAAAACAAAAAAAAGTACTGATTTATCACTGTTGAAAATACACAGCGTGCTTAGAAATTGACAAAATATGAGGACATATATGAGGATATATGTCAAAATATATCATTTCAGTATAAACACTTATATTGATGACGGCGTTATGGAATAAGGTGATTAACGAAAGTTGAATTGTAGTTTTCGGGCTTTTGTATGAACATTACATGCGAATACTGAGACCAATCGCCTGATATTGAATAATGGCACGCGTTTAGAGATATCCTTGTGAAGCCGATGCTTTAATTATTCATTATTCTTGGTACTGCGCGGAGATGAAACTAATATTATAAGACAAACATTTTGATATGATCTTGGGAAAATGTTTATATTTCGTTTGCAAACTTATTGTTTGTTGTGCGATTCTCGATTCACCGGTTACGGCTAAAAAATCTTGATCACGCAAAAAAACTATTTCTCTCTGTTAATATAAACATTACTATTTCAGCATTCAGGTATACTAAAGATGCTATTATGAAAAAAAGGTTCTCACTCTTAGTACATTGACAAGGTGATAACGATGAGTTGTGTAAGACTAAAATTTCAACTGGAGCTTCTTATATATGAAGGTACGTAAAAATAATTAAAAAATTCTGGCATTGCATATAAGGTGGCTGTTTATAATGAAATGAAATTAATAAATATTCTTGTACTTCGTAATTTTCTGGTATATTAGGTAACTTGGATAGTTAATAGACATTTTGAAAATTTTTATTTGCACTTGCTTCATTTTATTTATTTTATTACCTTCTTGTTAAATTTTTATTTGCGTATGTTGTGTTGATAAATAATTTTCCAGATAAAGAGCTCGCGATGATAGGAATATGCTACTCCCACATTTGAAATGATTTCGGTCCACTGTGGATTCTCGGCAGCGGATGAAAAGAGAGGGGAAGCGGGCTGCAGGTGATGCACGGCCTGGATGTGCCACGAGAGGCGCTGGACACGCGGCCTGGGAAGGGGGGCGGGTCAAGGTTGAAGCGGAAAGACCCAGGTAGAAAGTGATTGTGGTGCACAAGATGCGTGGAAGAGCTGTTTTCTAGAAATGTATCCCCGATAATGTTTTTTACATGCTTGAAGAAGTCTAATGTGTGACTGTTGTTACAAAAAGGGAACATTAATTTTTTTTGTTATTTAATGTCGCATCAACTTCTAGGTCATTAGCGACCACTATTGCTTGTAACGGCATGGTAACTGTGAGGAAGTACACCCATGCCCGAGGCGGGACTCGAACCCGCGACCCTTTGGTCTGAGATCGCTACGGCACTACTACCTTAGCAATCTCAGCCACCGTATCGGCTATTAAATGGTTTATGTCATTATAAATTCCTGTATCCTGACTCTATCGGATGAATTCAATAAATGTTAAACGCCCTAGGAGTGACAGTTGCGAACAGTGAACAGAAAAAAATGTGTTCAGCAATTCAAAAATAACAGCTTCTTATTCGAAGGAAAAATAAAATTTCACACATTTTGAAGTTTAAATGTACTTGCTATCTCTAAGATTTGTTTCATGACATTCTCAATGTATGGTGTTCACAATGCCCGCTACACATGCAATGGACGAGAGCAAATAGCCAGGACATGCTGTATTCTGTGTATATCAGAGCATGTGCATCGAGAATACTTGCGTACGTAGACCCACATTATTGGGAATAAAAATCTATGGCATCATAGCTCGTGCCGATTGCCAAATAAACCGACCTGGAAAAGCTTGCCGAGGCGGACTGGGAGAGGCTGAAGTAGCCGATAAGGACGATCGGGAGCAGTGTAACGCAGCGGCAAAGGACGACGTTCGCTAACAGCGAGAGCCACTGAGCGGAAATTGGTAGAGGTCGCTGGTGTAAGGGCCGAGACAACACGACCACGACAGCGGCGAGCGCCGGGAGAACGGCGGAAGCTGCGCGATGTCAAAGCCACAGAGGAGACCAACGAGAACAAGAGGCGCTGTCGATTGGAAAGGGAACAAAAAGCGGGGGCGGATTAATGTCTAAAGGAGGCCTCCCGATCGGACCTGGAGGTCTCCCGGAGGCCTCCAGAACGAACTGAATTCGGGAGAATCGCCCGACTGCATCCCGCGTTCAGTTTTCTTTCACGCTCGGTAGCCAGGTAATCCTTTTTCAATTTTTGTTACCCGAGAAGGCATAGCCCTACTGCATCTCGCATTCAGTTTTCTTTCACTGTCGCTGGCCAGGTAATCCTTTTTCAAGTTTTGTTACATTACAAGGCATAGACCGACTGCATCCCGTTTCAGCGTTTCGGAAGGAGTAAACATTTGTTTGTACGTTTTCATTCATAAGTTGCGAAAATAGATGATCTCGCACCAGTCCACAAAAAACTCGAACCCAGAAAAAAAATTCGATATCCAGCAATGTTTATATAGTTGGGCAATCGTAGTTCGTTGCTTTTGGCAGTTACATATTATAAGGAAGGCAGAGCTGGACTTCGATGACTGCGCTGATGCAGTATCCCATGAGGCTTCATATTACATCAGCGAATCTTATTCCCGCTCACACCATTTATTGACAAATTCCCAAAATAAAATGCCACTTTTACTTCTCATATCATACATAACTATAATACGATTGTGGTTGATAATCTCTCTTTCATCTTGATCGGCGGTACAAACATCAGTAACACATTTTTTCAGTCAGTCTCCGCCGCAAACCCCTCCATTTTGAGCGCTAAACCTACCCAAAAACATATTTTGTGTTCTTAGTACTGGCGAGTAAAGCCAAGCCCGGCGTTACCATGTCAACACGAAGCAATGAATTAGTCCACAGAGAGCGCACGCCTGCCCGGCAGGCGTTGACCCGCCGATCTGCGTTGCCGCGTGAGGACGCGACAGTTGGCGGGACATTAAAGCTGCCATTAGCCAAATACGCTTTCCGGAGCACCGGGACCTGGCAAAGAAGTTTTCACTAGCGGGGGGAAAGCAACGTTAATATATTATAATGTGCTCAAACAGAATTCCACTCAACAAAATTGTATAAATAATTCCTGTCGTCAGTATTCGTATTAAGGGAATAAATAGATAGTTTTCAAAATGATACGGAATGAGATTAAACTAGTGGCCTGTAGCAGCAAACCTGATGCTGTCGATTGTATGGAAAATGATCCTAGAACAGCAAAAATTGACTATTCTGACACAGCACACAATACTCAGACTTCTTTCTTCCTCGCATGACGTTTGTTTTCTCCTACGTGCTGAGGCACTGGGTATGATAACGTACGATATAAGAAATTGATACGGGAAAATGGGTATGGTAGGTATGGTAAATTGCGGATTAACCAATCAAATATTCGCATTTTTCAACCAAAATCGAAAGCGTTTAATTAATTTTGGGCTTTTCCAGTTTCCTTTGAAACTTCTCACATGCCAAGAGGCTCGATGATATGCATTTTTGAGGCACCTGACACCTTTCATTAGGGAGCTCACGAGAAAGTAATTAACGTGAAATTTGGAAGAAAAAGTTCTACAATGTTTGGATCCGAAACACATTTCTGTAATGCGGGTTGCTTCGAAAAAATCCAATCAACCCATTCAAAACTCGTCTCTTTTAATGATTGATCATGAG